TTCCACAGTAGTCGCCTTAGCTTTTTCTCTACATATACGTCTGTTTCTTTCAGATCTGTGAATCCCTATTCGGTTTCCCCCCCCCCCCCCACACACACGCAAGCACACACAATTTTATTGACTTTGGTTTTCCTCTCTTCTGTGAAGCCCGAAGTCTACTAAAGGTCCGATGGTATCTAACGTACAGCCGGCAATTTGGTATTAAAGACATTCATCAGTTAATTTGTGTCAAAATGTTTTAAATAAAGCCAATTATTATGGTCTCCAAAAATTCCCTTTAGATCGATGAAAACTGAAATTTAGGTACAGTAGAGCTAAGTGGTATCTTCAATATATATTATTTGAAGTTGGGTTTAAATTTCATTAGAGTAAAGTGAACAAATAGTAAGTTGGAAATAATTTCAGGCTTAAAAATGCAGCACTACTCCATCAAATGGGCTGGAAGATCGGAAAGGGGAAGAAAGGCCACATTTTGAACCCAAGTAGGCAGTATTTCTCCGATTTTTTGATATTCCATTCCTGGAGTAAGGCTTCTCGACTTGAAGTTATGGTTGCTTACCAATTTTGCACATTATTCCAAGTGTCTCGATTCTACTTCTTGGTTTACTCAAAAGAATGGGCTTAATCAATATTCACAAAGCATGTTTCGAAGCATAGGTATCTGATGGGCACACTTCTTAATGAGCAATATACCTCAACCCCTCCCCTCCCCTCCCCATTGAGATATCTCAACAGATCCGCTTCAAAAATAACTTGCATTTGCATCCATCTGAATACAATTAAAAAGGACCTAGCAACTCAAATTTTGCCTGGTTTGAGATTTTTGCAACATTTTTAGTTCTTTAGCTTTGTTGTTGAAGCAACCTTTTCACTTATACTATATTTGACGGTTTCATAAAGAATTTCTGAGAGTTAGGTTTATTGGATTGTAGTGTCAAATAGAATGCTTTTTCATTCTGATCAACCCAATTATCAATGACGTTTTAGAAGAATTTGTTGTTGAGTAGTAAGTTTCCTCTTCAGCTTAGAATTTATTTTAATTTGATGTTGAGTAAACCAACTAAGAACGGAGTGATACCCTTGCAAGTGACCATGACACCAAAGGTGGCTATGAGCAAAATTAATGCGTACCTGTACTGCAACTCCTAAGGCCATGGGGAAATAGTCCATTTGTGTGCGATGAATGAATGCATTTGGCTCAAAGGTTCTATAGATCAAAACGCTCAGTAGGGAAAAGACTTATTGGTTTCATAAGTGCCAACGTGTGATAACAATTTTATATCTGAACTTGAACTTATAAGAATGTTCTCCTTATTTACCAAGTCCAGAGTCACTCAATTGCCCGACTTTCAAGTACCCACCGTCTGTCTATACTTCACTTAGTTTTGGCTTAAATTGTGTGTTAAAATTGACATGCTTGTATTATAATCATGTAGATGGTTTAGTAGAGTCTCCAATATGGCGATTCAGATATTATGGAAATGGTATATTTAGTTGAATATATTCCAGAGTAGTTTAGGTTTATGTAGCCTTGATGGGATTTCATAGATTGGAAACCAATGGAAAACGAAAAAGGAAGCGAAAGTTTTCTCATTTTGTGATTAGTAGGAGTTGCCTGATCAACAGCAAAATTGATGGTATATGGAAAACTGGTTTTATCTCGCGTTGAGGAGCAGATCGATATCCAATTATAGTGTAACTCTGTTGACGAAATGTGGGATTTTTCCGAGTTTCTTTCATGTGCACTGAACTTACTTGATTTAGGCTTATTTACATTTGTCACAATTTATTTTTTGCAAATTATCTTACTACGTATTTATGCATACAAGCGTTTAACAACTTCAATAAACAAATATTTGCTTAAGTGAGGTGGGAATGGCTGACTAGATGCATTTATCTATTTCCAATCAACTTTTCAAACGTATTTAAAATGCCCAAAGTGTTGTCAAAGCTGCAGCTTCTTTTCCACACTCATGTAAATCAAAATATGATGATGTAATAAATGTTCAGCGCTGTGGATTTTAATCCATTCAAATTAGCCACGAAATCTTTTGACCTCAATTTCTGCATTTGCAAGTTGAGTGATGATTGAAGCTTACATGTTGACCAAGTAGTGAAACTGGTAAGATTATAAACTGGCATACCTTGGCAAGTTGTCAAATTCATACTCACATCAAACAATGTGAGAATGAATTCCCGAAACCGAGATCTGTCAACTGATCTGTAAGAGTAGATGGGGCAATAGAAATTATTGACTACACAATTGCCCAATGAAGAATCGTCGAATCGATGGTGGGACAAATATTCTTCGGTCAATTCATTTGGCTGAATCCAACCCCTATAGTTGCCTTCGCTTCCCAAACGTAATGGAAATTGAGACAGATGAGAGCAAATAACCTGGAATCGGCAAGTTAAGACAATTTCATCAATTTATACTTATTCCAAGTCATCAAGCAATCTTATCTCGAAAATAACGAACAGTTCAAAACTGTAATATTCAAATGCTACATTAACTTAACCTCGATTAATCAATATTTTAGCATTCGTATTAAAGATTTAATGTCAAACTGAAGAATGACACACATTGCTCACAATTTACTCAATTATTTCATCTGAATTGTACTAATAATTTATCAATTTAAATAATGGAAATCAGGCAATTTTCGAAATGTGTGAAATTGACTTTCTTCTCACAGGCTGGAGACCTCCATTACGCGAATGGTATATATCAGTGAGAACTATTTGATTGTAAGAAATTGCTTACCTCCCTACAAAATATTTCAGCGTTTTATTTCACTTTAGGATATCGACCAAATCCTTAAAATTGATCATTATTCTCGATCATTTAAAAACCTTTATCCACATAATTAGCTAATTTATACATGAAATTTCTTAATTGAGAAAAGAAAATTTTATATGCTTCTTCAACATTTTTTTTACAATTTGAACTACTACTCTTTTGGATACCGTGTATAAGAAACAAATTAAAAGTAGTATGTGTGTGGAGATCAAGGACTAATAGAATTAACTTCTCATAACATATTTCAAATAACTTTGTATGCATATAAATTATTGTCTCAATTTAAAAGTGAACGAGATTCAATTCTTCCACTACAAATATAATAAATTGCTTGATAATGCGAAGAATTAATACATGTCTAAGCTTTGATTTATCCAACTGTAACCTTCCTGAATTACATAAGCTGCCTTAATGATATGCAGTAAACAGAGATATGTCGAGGAATATGCTTATTTGGGTTGTGTTTGGTAATCTTGAGGATAATCACTAAATGCTATTTTAGTTAATCTGACCCTATGCCACTTGCTGTTTATTGATTGTTTAAGAGAACCCAAACTTCTTCATGCATTCAATTCGAACTAAAAGTAAAGATAATTGCATAGATAAATCCCTAAGTAAGACTCAAATAGGAGAATTGTGAGATTCTCTGTAAAGTATGGCTAATCTGAGGTGAAGTTCTAAAGTTGCCCAAAAGAAAGCACACACAAGCGAATATTCTGAAAATAGTACGTGATGAAAGTAATCGATATATTTGGTCTGACGTAACAGATGCAGATACAATTGTCAGATGTCATCTCTATATTAAAACAAATTTCCTTGTCACTTTTAGTTCAAATCAAGGTTACCATCTTGTCAAATGCAATCTTGTCAATGGCAATGCGAGAAGAATAATTGAATTAAAGTACTTAAGAAAAACACAATAAGAATTTCATTATATTAAATTGATTGTTCGTCACTATCACCTCACCTTCCTAATTTAATGTCAACTAAGATGCTTTGGTATTGTTCTAACTATCTCAAGATGTAAGAGGACTAACTGATTCAAAAGATTAACACCGACAGTCCAATTTGTCCAAGTGATGATGATCTTAGTATTTAAATTTACAATAACGGTCATATGTAGATAAATTTGTTACTAACGGTTTTTAAGTAAGACCCTATATTATTTTAAAATTTTCATCATAGTCATCATCTTATTCTACTTGCCAAATTTTTTTTGCCCAATGCAGTCAATTCGTGTTTTCCGACTTCAGAAACCACATCCAACTCTTTCCAGAGTCAGCCAAATCCACCTTTGTAACTAGGTGGAATCGAATTACTTTACATTTAGTGTCAAGTATTTGCAATGATGTTAATTAGCGTATCTGAGCTCACTGATACACATGAGAAGAGATCTTTTAAGAAACGAATAATAACACTTTTCATTTTACGATAACTTTGGAAACTAATTAAATCTCTGATACTTTTAAATGTATTGGCATATGTACATAGGAGTGAAGAGGATAGGTGTTAAAAGTGCCCACTAAAGGGTGAAAAATATGTTGCCAGGCCAAATAGTTCATAATTTATTTTTACTCATTTATAAGACTTGGTCTAATTTCTGAACATTTTGTGTAAAAAATGAATGAAAGCTACTTATAACTAAAGTCATTCTTTTTATTGTAAACATTAATAAATAATTAAGTTATTATTTTCCGAGTTGAGGGGTGAGATAGACTTACCATCACGAGGTGCACCCTGGGCAATGTATTCTCATGCGACNTCTGTTACCCCTATCCACTTTATCTCACTTTGATGTTCCTCTTCTCTGTAAAGCCTGAAATCAACTAAGGGGCTAATGATAAGTGCCATAATGCCCGACATTTGAAATAAAATTTTCCAAGCTGATATGAGCAGCGCAAGATTTGAAATTAATACTTCATCACTAAAATTCACTTCTTTCAGTTTAAAATTCCTCCCAAAATAGAGGATAACAAATTTGGCTCTATTAAAGCTTAATTATATAATGCTCAACAATGACAGGGCCCATGAATTAATACCTTCCTTTTTTGGTCGAAATTTCTAATTACAGGTCACTTACTCTTATGTGATTGGATCAATTACCTCACCTTAAATCCAATCAGAAACAACACGATAATTTCTCATGAATTATTAGTATTTAAAGTCATTCGAAAGTGTGTTTGAAATTCATTTTACAGTTATGTCAGGTACTATGCAGAGTGATAATTCAGGCGATGAAAATTCAATTCCACAGTCAGTGGGGATTCAATCTGGTGACTTAAGTGCTTCTGAAGACTTACTCACCGCTCTCATTTCAATGATCTCTTCCCGAATTTCTGACGTGCTTTCTCAAAGTTCACAAGCACCAAACCCCATTGAATTGAATCATTTGAACAGAGGTTTGTTCGCATTTTGAAATTAAAAGATTTTCGATTTGTTGATATTTCAAACATTTGTTTATTATTTAGATTTCCCAATAACAGCGCCATCGAGTTTCCACCCAATTTTTAGCCCTCTAAGCAGAACGATGGTGAACCAGAGAAATTCTATAGAAAAAATGCCCAATTTAAGTTTGTTTTCACCACCAAGTATATTTGACAATAGCAGACCAATTCGAGATTTTCAAGAGCAGACTCCAATCAACATTTCAAATGAGAAAGTGATGGAGCAACAGAGTGGTGATGATAGTGGATTGGGTGCCTCCTCGAAGATTTCCATTAACGCTACTGAAAATTCGAAACGAGTTTCAAGTGAAAGTCGAGTTAGTGAGACTGACCAGCTACCATCGGACGACAAAGCAGAGCCGTCGTTTAAATGTCGATACTGCTCGTAAACCTATACGAAAAAAATCAGCCCGTCGGTAAGTTTTGCCTTTTGCTCAGTAAGATTGACACTCTGTCTTTGCTCAAAGCAATCGAAGCATTTTCAAATTGATACCAAGTTCATTTCGCGAAATCTACAACACTTAAATAGCCCAAATTGTTTGCGCATTGCAATATTTTATTAAAGTGAGTTTTCCTCATTTTAGAATTCATGAGGACACGCATGAAATGGTGTATTCGTGTCCAGAGTGTGATAAAAGGTTCTCTCGGAAATGTTTACAGGTTCAACATATGAGAATGCATACAGGGGAGAGACCATACACCTGTCTAATCTGCTCTAAGAAATTTGGGGACAGATCGAATGCTCGAGCACATATTAGAGCAGTACACAAATCAGGTAATATGCTCAGTATTTCAAGTGATAGCCTCTTTGTTTCACTATCTTCTCTCACATAGACTTGATCACTCGGTTGCTAAATATCAAATTTTTTAGGCTTACAGTGTGAGTAAAAATAAATTGAGTTTTGTTCAAATTAAATTTGACCGATTGAAGTTAAGATAAGTGTAATCTCTAGGTTTGAAATTAAGACGGCGTCATGATGGTGCATCAAATTGCATTATCACATTTTTCCTATTTTGTAGAGCCTACTGGAGCTGTTACTTTAACTGGCTAACTTATAATCGAGAGATTTTCAAACCGTCTTGTAAATAAAAGTCAGTATAACTTTGGTGTTTTAAAAATTTATCTTTTCGCGCACCGCTTTAAATAAACTTTGCTGTTTATAATTAATCTTTTCAATGCAGTACTTGGGTGAAACATAGATTCAATTCATTAACCTCCTCCCACTCCCTATCCATTTGCCATTTGCTAAACATGCCAATACATTTAAGTGATGTAAAGGCATTGAAATTATTGATTTATTTATTTATCTCAAATGGCAGGCGTTATGTTTGGTATCATTAGTCCTTTAGTTGACTTCGGGCTTCACAGAAAGGACGAGGAACATCAAAGTGGCAAAATATCGAGACAGACACAAAGGTAGAAAAAAGTTGAGATGAGTACTGTGGAAGTGGTCGAATATGTCATACAGGGGGGGAGGCTTGGTATTTTGAAGTCAACTTCTTTGCCTTATGAGTATACGTTGCCCAGGGTGCACCACGTGGAGGTAAGTCTATCGCACACCCCAAAGAAGTCAGCAACACCGGGTATTCCCAGCCGTTCACCCATGCAAGTACTAACCCGGTGCTTTCTATGTGGTATGGTCGCTGATTCCAAGAGTTTATTTAAAAGTGCACTTGATAGGTCAGGTGGTTCGGTGCATAAAGCCATCCTGATTATGGCGTGGAAGTTCAAGAGAAGAAATAATGTGACAACCATTGTTCGAATCCTGTGAGAAACTAACTTTATTTCGATGATGTTGAAAGGGATAGTAACTATGTCTGTGCATGGTGATCCAGACTGAACTAACAATTGCATAGAATGTTCAAGTTGATTAGATTACGCCTCTCAACTGAAATATCATTGTAGACCAGTGATTGCTCTAACAGCTAGAGGTCAAGTGTGAAACCTTCAGGAAATGTAAAAATTTGGTGATATTCAGCTGACTGAATTCCAGAATAGTTGACCAGTGAGGATTAGATGCTTCAAAGTACTAGATAGAAATGTGTAATCTATGATTAATTTTACTACCATTCTCTTCATACAATGTGCCTAAATCCTTAACTTTATGTAATATGCGGGATGATGTGTTTAGGTCAAATAAACTATTTACTGTTTTCTTAATAACGAAGTTGCC